CAAATAAGTGAGTCCACAAAGCCTGGGGCACGATTTATTTTAGGATCTGCCCATGATGCAGATATTGGTACCAACTCACTACAGAATTACCAGCTCAGTCCTGATGATCATTTCTCACTTGTGATTAAAGAGAAATTAGATGGCAGTAAATACCCTGAGCTGGTACTGAAGACACCTTTAGACAGGGAAGAGCAGACGTCCTACCACTTGACATTGATGGCCTTGGATTTCGGGGATCCACCCCTAAGCAGTACTGCACAGATACAAGTCCTAGTGACTGATGCCAACGATAACCCTCCAGTATTCAGCCAAGAACTATACAGGGTGGAGCTTCCAGAAAACGTGCTCCCAGGCACCACTGTGCTTCGAGTTATGGCCACCGACCAAGATGAGGGTGTCAATGCCGAGATCACCTTCTCTTTCACTGAAGCAGGCCAGATTACCCAGTTTGACCTGAATTCTAATACTGGGGAAATTACTCTTCTAAATGCATTAGATTTTGAGGAAGTCAAAGAATATTCCATAGTTTTGGAAGCAAAGGATGGTGGAGGAATGATTGCCCAGTGTACCGTGGAGATAGAAGTCCTAGACATAAATGACAATGTCCCAGAAGTGATATTCCAGTCTCTACCAGATCTTATTATGGAGGACACCAAGCTGGGAACACACATTGCTTTGCTCAAAATCCGTGACAAGGATTCCGGACACAATGGAGAAGTTATTTGTAAATTAGAAGGTGATGTTCCATTTAAAATACTCAATACTTCAAGAAACACGTATAAATTAGTGACAGATGGAGTTCTAGACCGCGAGCAGACCCCTGAGTATAACATCACCATCACAGCCACTGACAGAGGCAAGCCACCCCTCTCCTCCAGCTCAAGCATCACCCTGCACATCGGTGATGTAAACGACAACATGCCAGTTTTCGAACGGGCTTCCTACGTGGTCCACGTAGCAGAGAACAGCCCTCCTGGCACCTCCATCACTCAAGTCCGCGCGCTGGATCCTGACCTGGGGCTCAATGGCCACGTCTCCTATTCCATCGTGGCCAGCGACCTGGAGCCGCGCGCGCTGTCGTCCTACGTGTCCGTGA